GAGTCTACAACAGCCCTTTCCTCACTCCGAGTTTCAGACTCGGAATTCACATCACTTTCAGTATTCTCATCAGTCCCATCGCCTTCCTCAGCTTCCTCTTCTTCTTCAGTATCCTCTTCTTCTGCTTGTGACTCACCTCTTTCTTTCTTATCATCTTTGTCTGTGTCATTTTTTTTGTTAACATCTTCTCCATCCCCTTCAGCCTCATCTCCTTTCTTAGGATTATTTTGACCGTTATCACTCTCTGACTCAACAACAATGACAGGCCACTCTCCACAACTATTTCTCTGAATTTCTCTTTTCCTTTTCTTACTTGATTCGCCTTTTTCGTTTTTTTCCCTACCCTTGAAATTCCTTGTTCTAGCAATTCCAAATGGTTGTTCATCTTCTTTGTCATATCCGTTACATATTCACGAAAACTTGCAACATTCTCTTGCTTTGATTTCGACTCGTTGGGTCTCCAAATCGGCGGTGCAAAGACCCTCCCAGAAGTAGCAGTGTTGTCAGTGCTGGCCATTGTTGGAGAGAAAAGAAAGAGTCTTTGGAGAAAATGAAAGCAAGCAAAGGAGATGAAAGGCAGACAAGAAAGCAGAAACAATTTAGGGACCACGCAAGATTAGCACCTCAATCATCCAATGATGTAGGAAACTGAACAATCAGGACAAAATCTAAAAGAATTTAGATCTTTAGACTTCCATAGTATAACTTTAATGTACGTGTTCTAAAAAAGTCTAAAACTAGAAAATAGCTTTTCGTAATTTTCCTTATATGCACAATATTATATGTACGTGTTAATCGGGTCTTCAATTTTATAGATATGTTGAGTTATTATTTTTAAGACCGACTTACAAAAATCGTAACATTTTTAAAAAGATGATATCTAATTACCACAGATATTTGTAAAATAAAATCGTAATTTGAGCTATTATTTTTAAGACCGTCTTACAAAAATCATAACATTTCTAAAAAGATGATATCTAATCACCACAGATATTTGTAAAATAAAATCGTAATTTTTTTTATTGTCTTTTTCAAAATCATTTTTAAAATTACTTTGGCATTTTTAATGAAACCTTTTGAATTCATTTTCATTATTTATACATTTTTTGCAGTTTTTGGATTAATTTTAGAGAAACGGAAAATATATTAGTTTTGGATATTTCATGTCTTTAATTTTGTTTTTTTTATAAGCGAAAAAAGTAAAAGCCAAAATAAATAGGAAAATTCTTGCGTAGAAAAACTTAATATTGTTGTAAATGTAACAACTTGTCAAATGTATTACTACACATTTTTAAGGATAAGCAATAGGCAAATGACGATAGGAGGAAATGCAAGATAATGCAATGTTGTGTGAGAAATTCAATGAATATAATTATCTGCTATGTAATTAGGTGTAGAAATGGCGGTAGGAGATCGAAGTACAATATTATGGAGCTTAATGGGGATAAAGTTTTGAAAAGGGGCTAACATTTATTTTTTAGTCTTATTTTTTAAAAAAATTTAAATTTGGGTTTATGCTTATATAGTTTCTATGGTTAACGAAAGATTGAAGCGTTTTTATTAATGTATAACTTGTATAGTGTAATTAGTTGTTTGTTAAGTAGGTTGCAATAATTCTAGCATTTCAAAGCATATGTATATGTACTTGCTTGAAAGAAAAGCAATTTGGTGACTTGCTTTCTAAAAGTTCTTGACAATTCACATGCACAACAAAGTGATACATATTAGATTAGCAAGCATAGAGATTTTGCACATAGAAAGTTAGTTGAGCAACCCAACAAAAGAGGCAGAGTTTGTTAGCCTAAGTCTAAGCACACTTAGGTGTATATTACACAAGTGCTACATAGTAGCAATGAAAGTACCAAGTAAGTGCTATAAGTTAACAGGAAAAAGCTCAATGTTTGGCAAAGAGTTGATAGCAGCCAACATGAATAAGCAACAATCAATAAAGCTACCAACAAAAACACATTCAAAATGATATGCAAGCATAATCTGGGGTAATGTGTTCTGATCAGAAGCTTTTGATTGGGATAGCAGATGTTCAGGAGTGTGCAACTGACTGGACCACCCAATGCAGCACGCCTGCCCTGTTTAATGACTGGGAGGGATGAAGTATGACATGCATGGGTGTGGATTTCAGAGCTGCAGCAACGTGATCGAATTCAGGCCAGCCATCCTGAGAAGAAGGAGTGATGTTAGGCTTAAAGTCAATAGTGGCATTGTTAAAATAAAACTATAAGCTTAAATTGAGAGCTATATTAGTACCTGAACTTTCTTGTTAAAAATTTCGGGTGTAGTTAGGCTGAAGATTTGTTCACAAACTTCGCCAAAAGCAGTTAGACGAAATGATCCGGTATCATCCACAGCATCAAAGGTGAAGTTGACTCTGCAGTTTTAGTGTAAGCTAATATTAAAGGAAAGCACTTCATGGTTGCACAACAGAAGGAAGTGAATGATTACCTTTCAGTGGAAGTGCATTTTATCAGGGCAATGCGGGCAAAAAAAAGGTACATTTGCAGCAACACCATATCGCTTTCCACAATTATCACAGCCAATGTATGCAATAACACTGTCTAGCTGTGCATCTGGAATTATGACTGTTAGAGTGTATACTTCTTCTTGGACAGTGTTATCCACCTGAATCAAATGTAATCGTTTAGCATAGAGGTTTACAGAGCAGTTGACATAAGTATATTCTGTCGAATGAAATTACAGTTTTGCTAATGATCTGATCAAGTGTAGTTGGAACTGGTTCAGCTCCTATTGTCATGAACTCAAGTTGCCTTGCCATGTAGTCAGCAATGATATCTGAATTTGCATGGGCCCTAATGATAAATCAATGACAGAGATAGATAATTAATCAAAATAGGCATGATTTAATCTATGAGATGTGCAACGGTGTTTATAAGTAGCTAAGAGTAGGATACTGGTTTACCAGTTTCTTAAAGCCTCTACTCTTTCACCACTGGGGGCTGGATCAATTGTTGTGGACATGCTCGATTGGAGTGAAAAACCTGCGAAGCTTAACATTAGTTTGTCTAGTCTTGTTAACACATATATGGAGTTAAAGGACTAAAACAGTTGTTACCTCTGTGAGTAGCAGGCTTCAATGAGGTCAAGCTAACAACCACGAAATTCGTAGTCCAATCAGTGATTTTCACACAGGCAAGCTGTCCCCATGCTGAGACAATCATTGGGCGAGTGCTAGTGCTGCAAACGTAACATAGATAATAAGGATCATGCTATTGTAATTATATTGCTAGAACTGTTGTTAGAATTTTAAAAAGAATTTTGACCTTTCATCAACGATGCTGATATCACGGACATCAGCTACTCTGCCTGATTTATATGTCACTTGCCTAATTTCTTCCAAGTGTACCACAATTCTAAGTAAATCTGGCAAGCAAATAAGAAATAGGAGCTTTAGTTAAATAGTCATGTATCTGAATAATAGCATTTAGGTAGCTATAAACAAAAAAGTATACCAAAACGGTCTGATGGGTCGCTTGTTTTAGGTACATCAGCAATAGGGATGTAGTCTGGTAATACAGGTCCTTGAGTTTGATCGATTGCCTGAAATTTAGTCATTCCTCCAAAGGTTAGCTCACATTCTCCTGGAAATGAGCTGAATTTTGTGTTAATTGTTCTGATTGGAGCATTTGCTATTTCATATGTCTTTTTGTGTTCAAAGACTTTCTTGAAGTGATCACATTCATCCCCAAACAAAGTCGCTTCCATGCTGTTACCCTGCATCACAGCAAAGGATAGGTCATGTAAAATCGTGTGTAATATAAACTTGCAATAAACAGTATAGTGATTAGTGTGTACTTCTTCATCTTCAAACACCAGTTTTTGGAACTTCTTTTTGTTGGGAGGAGTTCGAACAGGAGACTTTTCCTTAACCGTCACTCGGACTTTGTACGCTTTGCTCACAGGTGAAAGCTTAGCCAGTGGTGTGTACTCAGGTTTCATCTATACTATGAAAAGTAAAAGGAACATGTCATATGCAATGAAATTGTATACAATAATAACATTTGTAAAGGCCTAACATTGTTATTTAGCAAGTAAGACACTATATGCACATGTGTTGTTTAGTGCACTGTGATTGCATTTTAAAATTAGTAAGGAGTTTTCTTTGATGATGTGGCTACATTGTACATTTGGATAAGTATTATTTAATATAGATGTACAAAGTAAAGAGTCTATGACCACATAATTGTATAAAATGTATGCTTTTATCTGATAGGTAAGAAGGTGGTGCTTAGGCATATATAAATCGAGGGTAAGGTTCCAATTTGTTTACAAGGCCTGTCTGTGCTTCTTAAACACATCTCTAATTCCTTTCTCTCAACAAAGTGAAGAGTGATGGAAAGCAAAGGCAAAGACAAGGTGGACAGCAGTGAGCAAGCTGGGGTTCCTAATCAGGCAACCTTTGAAACATTGGAGTCCAGGCTCACTATGCTTGAGAAAAAGGTACATGATCTTGAGGAAGTGGTGGCTGCTCTTTGCTTCGAGCCAGAAGACAAGCAACCTAGCCCAAAGATAGAGGCACCAAAAGGAGAAACAAGCAAGCCTTATCATGGATTAGGCTTGGATGACATCCATCACCATTCAAGCCCTTCATATTCACCCGGAAGTGATGGCTCTTATGGTGTTTATTATTAAAGATAGTTGATCTGTGCTAATTAGTTGTGGTATAAGCATTAGTAGCACCTATTTCTATGTTTTAGGGATTAAGCGGCCTATATTGCTGTTAACTCTTGCTATCAGTCAGTTGTGTTTCTTATTGCTAGTTGTTTTATTATGGTTATTAATTAAGTGTTACTAAGTGTATGAACTAACGCAGTTGTAATTGCCATTCTATGGTCTAATGAAGTTTAAGGTTTATTAAGTGCAGCTTGTTATGTATAATCAAGCAATTATGTTTTTCTTTATAAGAACAAAGAACTAAGTTTACCACATATATACAAAGCTGCATGTGTTTTGTTAGCCAAAGTAAACTATATTGCAGCTTGTGAATACTAATGCAAAACAGAATACAAGGTCTAGATAAAAACATGAAAGCATAACCAAAAATGATCTCAGGTCTATCAAATGAGTTACAGGTTAGGCAGAAAAGGGTAGCAATTCATGTGAAACTATTTTTTTGTGAAATATAACATCAAGTGGTACTTTTGTTGTAAATTATTTATATTGTTAAAAAGGCAAAAGGTAAATAATTCATATTACCAAATTGAATCCAGCAATAAGAATGCATACAATGATATAGGGAAGTAGTGTAGATACTGTAAACAGATCCCAAATAAAGTTTGACAATATACATAAACACAAGTAAATAAAGAAAGGAATAAATTTAAGAATGGAATCATTAATAATGGTACCTTGTTCAAATGAAAATGCAGGTGAGTATTGATAGAACCAGCAATGAATAAGCACTGCAATAGAGAGAATAGAATAGCAGTAAATGCTGTATCTGAAATGTGAGTAGCTTTAATAGTAGGTCGATTGTGAGAGTTTTCAAGCATGCTATGTCTTGAAATTTATTAGGCTAGAATGATAATCTGATACATATCATTGTCTAGCAGATTATAGGTTGTATAGAGGTTACTTTTGTTAAAGAAACTCTTTTTCCTGTTGCATATTATTGTCCACCAAATTATAGGCTGTGCAAGAGTTATTTTTGGGAGAGTAACTTGCTCTGTGTATACTCTCAGTAAAAGATATTATTGTAATGATGATGCAAAGTCAGAAGATGTAATTGATAATAAAGCTATGATCATATGATATGCAAATAAAGTGATATATTATTGACCCCTTTTTTTTTCTCTGGAAAAATGATGACCTTTGTCCTGCAGATAATGATGTGCTGATTATTGGTCAATAGTTCTAATCATGGTTTTTCTTGGTTCTCTTTTAAGCTAATTACTCTTAAGTTTCTTCCTTATACTATTTATCTTTATTTGACAAAAGTTTTTGTTACACTATTTGCCTGACCCTCTGAAGTTATTGTTGTTTTTCTTCTACCGATATATTTCTTAGAGTAAGCATTTTTTTTATTTGAGTATTTTTCCTTGGTAAATGCCATTTTAAAGTTGTGCTTATTTCATTTTAGCAGTTTACTTACCTTTTATTAATTTAATTTCTCTGAATTTATATGTAGTTATTGAAAGTAAATATTTGTGGTGAGGTCTTTTCAGAAGCAACAAGGTTTGGGTTTTGAAAAAAATTTGGAGTGAAATAGTCATCATTTCAGCTAGATAAACCTAGGTTGCTAGATTTTGCTTTTAGCTCATAGAATACTACATATGAAAAATGATATTTATAGTAAGTTTACAATTGACTTGAGCATGGTTTTGTTCAGCAGTTAAGAGAGTGCCTTAGTAATCTGTACTTTGTGAACAGTTCAAATGTCCAGTGGATAATAAAATGCTTCGAGTCTAAAGTGCATAGAAGCTGTTGTTTGATTAATCATGATGTGCTGAATATTTTTGGCTGACATGATAGCTGACAATGAATAATGTGAAAATTAATATTTTTTGCTGAGATAATTTTGGTTACATAATTTCACCTTTTTGTAAAATTATTTTTATGATGCTGTGAAAGTTGTGTTGTTAGCTAAGTGTGGAAAGCATAACAAAGCTAATGTGGACTATTTGGATTATTTATTTTGCATGTGATATATGCATTGGTTCAATGAATTGCAACATTCTAATATCTAATTATCTAAATGTAAAAGATCTAGTGCTAACGTGAGTTATGAAGGATGCTTATTTGCTAGCGTGAGTCATAAAAAAGAAAGTCATAAGTGCTATTATTGAATCATAATGCTGTAGTTTAAAAACAAAGTTATTATGTATTAGAGGGTGCAGATTTAGTTCAACTTTGCAGAGAATGATACTATGATCTGAACTAACAACATATGAACTAAGAGGATAAAGTGTCATTTTGAAATAGCATAATGACATATTATATTAAGTTCAAAGAGATATTACAAAACAAGAATGAGGCTTGATGTAAACTAAAAGAAGCTAAAACTATAAGTATTATACCTTGGAAAAAGGGCATTATGTTATACCAGATAACTTTAGAACATCATAAGCAACGATGTTCTTGAGCACTGTTCCTGTGTATTTTCCAGTAGGTTGTGGAGTGATAACAGTCACTTTGTTGGATTTTTGGCTCTAGACAATGCAACATACAGCTGACCATGGGAGAAGCATGGCTGTGGAAAGTAAACCGGAACTTGGCTTAATGTTTGCCCTTGTGCTTTGTTAATGGTCATTGCAAAACTGAGCTTAAGAGGGAATTGTATCCGTTCAAATTGAATCGGGAATTTGGTTGATGACGGAGGCCGAAGGTTTACACGATGGATGAACACAAGTTCTCCCTGGCGATGACCAAGAGCTATAGAACAAACAATGACATTTCTTCTGAAATACTTGCATATCAGCCTAGTACCATTGCGCAGGCCGTCTGCTGGATCAATGTTTCTAAGCAAGATGACAGGACTATTTACTTTCAAAACAAGTTCATGCGGAGACATGCCACTTGGAGCTAGCTGATTCAGGAACTCAGTAGGGTATATTGCACAGTTATTATCTAGTATGCTATCAAAACTCCTGTAAATAGCTGTTTCCCCTGGGAATTTATCAATGAGAAAAGCGTTGATAGAGTCCACTGCATCATTTAATGGTGTGAGAATGGCTCTTTCTCTAAAAATATCTGGTGAAAAGTCTGCATTGTTTAATTATGGGAATGCAGCAGCAGCTAAATGTTGAATAGGCTCATCAGTTGGCTGATAATAGCTGACAATGTGAGATGGCACTTGTACAAAAGAGTCTTCAGAGGATTGCAACTCACCATTGCCCAAACTCAGCAAAAATGATGCATATGTGGGATCTTCTTTGGCTCTGATGTTTTCAGTGAGGTGCATTTTCTCTAACCAAGGCCAAATTCGTGAATTTACTAAGCTTGTAGCAACTGCCTCTCTTTGAGTTTTTTGGGGAACAACTGGCAAGACTTGCCTGAAATCTCCTCCAAATACAATGACTTTCCCACCGAAGGGAAAAGCTGGGTCACACAGGTCACGGAGCAAAAGGTCTACAGACTCAATGTTTTGCTTCAGTGCCATTGAAGCTTCATCCAAAATAAATAGAGTTGTTTCTTTCAGCAAAGCAGCTAAGCTACCTTGTTTTGGCACATCACAAACAAGAGAAATTTCAGAATCAAGAGGGATCTTAAAGCGTGAATGTGTTGTCCTACCTGAAGGTATGTTTGCTGCAGCTATGCCTGAAGTTGCTGTTGGAAGCACAATTTTACCTGCGAGTCGCACTTCTGCATATAAAGCATTGTACAGAAATGTTTTCCCAGTTCCCCCAGGGCCATCCACAAAGAAACATCCATGTTTTTAAGTCAGAACATGAGAAATTATTTTTTCGAAGGCAATTTGCTGAGCTGCATTTAGATTTTGCCTGCAATTAATACATTGTTGAGGAATAGGTGCATCCAATGCATCAATGATATCTTTTGTCCTGTTTAATTCTGCAGGAACTTCTTCATGTAAATGCCAGTGATTTTCCCATAGACTCTAAATGTCGTTGTATTGACTGAATGGTCAGTAGCTTAACCTGTCTTTCACTCCGAGGCAAAGTATGTCGGTAGTCGTCAGACAAGTCATTGTAGAACTGCAACCACAGTGCATCTGGATTTCGTGGTCTGCAGAACACCAACACTGCTGCAAATAATCGGCGTAAGGCTGATGGCATATGAATCTCAGCTGCTTCAAACAAGCAGGAGAAGACACCATTGTCTTCTTCAAATAGACCTCTTTGAATACATGCTTCTTGAAATGTGGCACAAACCATTCCGTTTACAGTACGTAAGTCAATAAATGACTTTGGGTTGAGCACATTAATCAAAAGCAGTCTTAGGAAAAAACGCTCACCTTCTGCTGGTGTGACAGTTGCCAGCCGGCCAATAACCTTGTTCTTATTTCGCCTTCGAAACCATGCTTTAGCACTGCTATCCCATCTGTTGTGCTCTATGAATTGACTATAAAGATATCCCGTACCTTCAACAGAGGCTGCATTTGCTTTAAAGAACTCTGTCAACTGCGTTTTGGACCTTCGTTCATTCAGCACATCAGAATTCAACTGCTCGTTATTCCGTAAGTGAACTGTCTGCATGTTTTCCAGATGCACTGGCAAGTGCTGCACAGGAGGATACATCTCAAATAAATCAAATCCAAAGATTCGCCAAGCTGCCTCACATGGTGAAACCCATTAACCAGATTGGAACTTGTCTATTTCATCTACAGCATTATGTTCTTCCCCATTAACATTGAAAGATACCCTATCATGTCCCTAGTAAACATACTTATATAAGTATTTCACAGCTTGAATTGATGAGCATATCTCTACATTTAGATGGCAATCAAACAATGCAGACAGATATGGGTTGTATGGAATAACTGAACGGTTATCAAGGTATGCACCTCGAATGCGGACTCGCTCTCCAGAATCTCTTCTTCTGTACATAGGGTACCCATCATCATGATTTGTTGTTTCAGCTAAAAAACCCTTGGGGTAACCATACTTACACGAAAGAATGTTGTTATTCTTGGTAACCATACATGGACACTTTAGATTCTGTTCTCCACAAGGGTCATGCATCATATGTTTAACTACAATTTTCCGAAGTTGTGGGGAAGTATGAGGTGGCAATTCTGCTGAAACAAAGTGGTCAAAATCTGAAGGTGTTTTCATTTTGTAATTAGGCTTGAGGATGATGAGAAAATGTGCATGAGGAAGCCCTCTTTTTTGAAACTCAATAACATAAATCATAGTTGCCACTTTTCCAAAGATATGCTTCTTCATTATCTGCTTCTTTAAGCAAATCAATTTTGCTCGAAAGATACGAGCAACAAGATCTGGCCGGTTCTGAGCCAATTCTCCAGGAGCCAACTCAGCTTTAATTTCTGGCCAGTTTGCATTGCATGTCATTGTAACAAACAAATCGGGCTTTCCAAAGCGCTGTACCAAAGCCATGGCATTCAAATATCTCCGCTTCATGTCCCGTGGGCCACCGATAAAAGTCGGTGGCAGAATAACCCGCCGTCCAATATTAATGGCACTTGTCTCACCATCTTGAATGGAATCCAAAACTCTCTGATACAAATCATCTCTTATTTTTTGTTGATTGTGGCGGAAGTAATCTAAGCGAGTGTTTTCAATCTTCACATACATGTCAACTATGTATTGCTGAAGACAGCGGCCTGCTCGTAACAGCATGTTATTTGGGCGGCATTGCAATTTGTAAGCATAGTATTCACGTGGAGAAACATGTCGTGCTGAAGTCCCACCAGCATCTGCTAATCCTGTAAGCAGGGCAGCATATAAATGTAAGTAGATAGATGATAAGAACATTTGAAAAAAGTTGTATGGTCTTAAGTGTTAAGATAGCAAGCATTTTTACACAACAACAATACTTCTAGAGAGCAATTAAAGGTAAGACACTACTATTGGTAGTCAATGCAGAAACTCACTACAAGCTTCCTGTGCAATAACATCTTCCTCTGTATGCACTGCTGTAGAGAGAACAGGGTCTGTTTGAGACTGTTGATGCACTTGCCCATCATTTTTCTTCAAACCTTGACTCTAACCACAATCACCTTTTGGGAATAATAGCGGGTATTGGAGAGGGTCATAACAGCCATAATTATGGTATATACGATGCGATTTGTCTGACCTTCCTCTTACAGTGATGTATGGTCCATTTAACTCACTTGATGAAGTATCATCTGGCCAGATTGCAGCCACTTCATCTGTTGTGGGAGCATTATAAACACGCTGGTCAAGCACAGTGTTTTTGTTTATAATAATTTGTGTCTCTTCATGAATGTCAATTTCTTTCAATGATCTAAAGAATTGAGCATATGGATTTTGTTGAGTTACTTCCATAAGGATTGCTATTAAATCAGCCCTGATTTCTGGGAAACTCTCTGTCCTAGCAGTCGACTCAAAATGGCCATCATAAAAATACAGTTGTAAATAGCGAGGGCCTATATCTTTAGGAATTAAATCAGGCAAGTAATGATAAATCTGGCCATGTAATTTAAAGACATAAATCCCTTTATGTTTTTTTGCTTTATAGTCACCACCAAATGAGCAAAATGCAAATAAGTTATTATACAAGCGAATATATCTTCTAAAGTGCAAGGCATCTTCGTCATTAGATGTTAAAAGTCTATATAGTGCAAGGGGGTATTCATTAGTGGCTAATGTTATAGCCCCATTTCTACAGCAGAAGTGAAGTGTTTCATGCTGAAATTTTTTAGCATTGCAATGTGCACAGAAGCGAGGTGGTTTCAGTTTCAGAGGTGTTGTTGGTAATTTAAGGCCAACTGCAGCAGAAGGGGGTTCTGTTTCCCGGCAATTGAATGTTAATCTAATTTACTTATGAATGCAACTGTATAGCTAAATCATAAAGACAGAAATATAGTGAAACTTACTGGGCTTCCTAACTGTAGGTAATTTGACTGTCTGTTTTTTCAAAACCACAACTGTTGCCTTTACAATATGCAAAGCGCATGTCAAAATATTGTGCGATTAAATATAAATGAATGACAAAATTGCCTAGAATGTAAACGGAGATTCTCACTTTTAGTTTGAGTTTTCCCTTTCTTCCCTGTTTGTAGTATTACAGGTGTATCATAGCAAGGCCCAGGCACTACAGGTGAAGATGACTTTAAAGCTGTAACAAACATTTTCATTGATAAGGCATACAATAGCAATGCAGCTTATATAACGATAGCAATTCTCGCAAGCAACAACAGAAATAGCAATAATTGAATTATCATTTTAAAAGACTTTGTTACTTGGCATCTAACTTGCCATTAGTAAAGGGATACACTTTTTGATCTTGAGTCCTTTAAAATGCACATAATGAAAATAAACGTATTTAAAGCTACCAGAGCTGTGATTAAAAAAACACTAACTTTTTTTTTTTTGAATGCGAGGTTTCTTTGGTTTTGAATTTCTGGCCTCACCTTGTGCACTCGTTTCACCAATTTCCCTAAAAGTTGTGAACAAAGTGCAACACAACAACCTCAGTGACACTTTATAAAGACAGATACTAAACTGTCCCAGAAGCAAGAAAGCAAATAGGAAAACCTTATTGAAACAGGAGATTGAGACATAGCTGCAATTGTTCGTTGTCGCTTGCTAACCCGTGAGTTGTTGCTAGTTTTTTCATGCACCATGCATTCATCAGACTTTGCGGCCGAAATATCTAAGCAACGAAAGCCAGTATTAGAAGCATATATAACTTGCCAAGGCATGAAGTGCTAACATTAAATCTGCAAAACACAATTCAATCTCTCTGTTGTATCAGCAAACCCTGTCAAGCTTAAGCACAAGAATAGCTGAAAACTTCTTGGGTTTCTTTGAACTGACTCACAATCCATTGCCCTTTTACTGAATTTTCCCTTTCAATTTGCTTGATTCTTCAATTCTATTTGTGATTTTCAAAAGCTTTGTAAATCAATAATTCACTTATCAAAGTATATACTCTATTTGCAGACCAGCTTATATATATAGCTAAACTTTTAGAGAGGTGTTCCTTATTTTCTGAGTTATTTGCAAGCAGGCTAATCCACCGTATTTAATCCTACCCTTAAATTTTATTTCAATGATCGCATTGTAACTCTATTTTTCTGCTCTTGGCTGTGATTTTGTAGCAAGCACATACTTTATAGATGACCATGCTTACCATGCATTGTAGTATCTGGGTTTTCAGCACTGTCATAGTTAGAATTTCCTTCGTTAGTAATTCTTGAGCTACTATGTAAGTAATCTGGCCCTGCACTTCTGTTTGTGCTTGGCTCACTTATTTCTCTATCCAATGCAAGGAATCACCAAACATTAAACATCAACAGTACAATATCAGTAAAAAAAACATCATGCACCTTTAACAACAATAGTCCAATACCTGATGGAAGGCGGTGTTTCAGCCATAGACTGAATTTCCTGTAAACGTTTGCTGACCCTGGTCTTTGGGAAAGTTTTTTTAGAGAGCAGGCAGCGATTTGTAACACACATATACAAATCTTGTGAAGAAACAATAGTGCAGAAAGCTATATTGAATACTATAAATTAGGAGTTTTGTATTTACTCATCATATATAGGCTTAAGACCTAAACCAGCAAATAAGGTTTACAGTGGCTGCTATAGATATCTAAATGCGGCTTGTTAGCTGGCAAGCACGATAAACCAGTAGCAACTCAAGGAAACAATCAGAAAAGCCACTGTGTAGTTGAGGATTATCATACCTGGAAAATACAAATATGTTACCAAAGTAAAGGGTTCTGCCTTAAACCATTGCTCAACTAAAACAACGAAGCAGCAGTAGGTAATTAGCATAATGTGTATGAAAGCATGCATGATCAAAGTCAAATGTGACATTATTTGTGCAGCATCATACATAAACACATAACTATAAGCAGGCATAGAAAAGATGACACAAAAATTAAGTATCAAAGTAAAGGGTTCTGCCTTAAACCATTGTGCGTCTAAAATAATGAAGCAGCAGCTAGTAATTAGCATAATGTGTATGAAAGCATGCATGATCAGGGTCACATGTGACATTACTTGTGCAGCATCATACATAAACACATAACCGGGAAAAGGCATAGAAAAAAATGACACAGAAATTAAATTTCATTGATTAAGTGAAACAGACAAAATACATTAGTTCTGGAGAACCAGTCTAGGCTATTGTTCCCAGAATAACTGCTAAGCTAATACAAATCAGTTGAAATCTAAGCAGTACAAAATATTGCATTGCCACTATTTAACATCCTGGCAAACAAAGGGAACATAGCACCAAAAATAACAAAACAAAGCCCCCTCCCAAATACAAAGCACTGCAAACTAAGCATGTCTTCCACCATACCTAAACACCTAAAACAAACCTAGTACTATGGCACTGCAAAACAGCAAACCAACCCCCCCCCCCCCATGCAAAGCACCACGGTCAATCAATCAAGCTTCCTACGTTTAAAGAAGGCATCAAGTTTAGCTGGAGCTGGTGATGGCTGCGAACCATAGCGAGCACCAAAAGATGACCTGGCTCTTGGCTTGTGCGGCTGTGGCGGAGGAAGAGCAGGAGACGGTATCTTATGCACAACTGACTTAGGTGTGACACATCCATCCTCACCCAAAAAAGGAGCTAAATGCAAAGCACCTTGAATCCCAAGCACACGCTCTTTAGCTGCTAAATAGCTTTCCTGAGCCAAAGAGCACTTAATTCCAGCATATACTCCATTTCCATAATTCAGATCAATGATATCAAGATTGAAAGCAGTGCGCAGAAACTCAACAGCCTTCTTAGCTGCATCTTGCTTGGTAGCCCTAGAACAGGCATGGACAGTGCTGAAAGTGCACTCAATTCCAGTAGCAATTGATGGGGCATAAATTGTAACCCATGACAAGAACTTCCCTGGTTTAACTTGGAAAGTCTCGACTTCTGAAACACGTGCTTTAGTCTCCAAAGCAAGAACGCGCAAAACATCTAGGTAGTCAATACAGACATATTTCTTGCGCTTCTTGTGATTAGGCACAGATGGCCACTTCACTGGCACTTCACTGGCACTTCACTTCCAGCTCTTTCCACAGATTCAAGTTCAATGCGTTTCATCTGATACAGAAATTCACAATGCTCAAGCTTGCAGATTTTCTTAGAAGTCAAGTCTTCAACCTGAACACTGCATTCTATTCGCAAGGAACGCACAACATCTTCTGCAGCCTTTTCACGTGATTCTCCAACCGTTTCAGCTGCACCACCCTCATAAACAGATTCCACGCCTGGTATAGTCTCCAAAACAACTTTCACAGAGTTCTTGCGGACATCTACCAAATAATATGCTGGTGGTGGAAGCTTTAGGTACTCAACAACTTGCTTCAGCAGGGAAGAAAAAGATATAGATATTTTCCGAGTTTGAGGCCCATCAACCTGTTTGCATACTGATGGGGTAAGAAAGTAATCTATGCAAACAACCCTAAGTCAAGGCCATCTAAGAACTCACTAAATACCCTTAAGAAATCCCTATGTAAGTTTCTAATAGAAGTTACAGAGAACAACATAGGACAATCTATACACAATACACTGAAATCAGAAGATAGTAACTATGCCATCCCAACACATGTAATTACTTTTCAATACACTACACTCACTTCTTCTCAACAAACAAAGCAAGCACCTTCTATATATTATATAGGAAAAATACACTTTAATAATCCCAACTATGGGCGATTTACCTACAATAATCCTAACTATCGTTTATTCTACAATAATCTCAACTATTAGGTCAGTTTTCCTCCACTAGTCCCAAACCGGTCAACAAAAGTCAACAACCTATTGTTGTAGGTTGTTTGACACGTGTCAGTGTGTGAGTGGTTCCAAAAAAATTTAAGTAAGAAATAAAAAAAAAACCAAAAAAATAAATCTGGCAGCCCAACCACCACCTCCAAAGTGGCAGCCACTCTCTCCCCCACCCCCAAACTCACCGGAACCCTAACCACAACCCTCGATCGCCGGAAATTGGCCGGCCAACCACCGAAAATGGTCGGCCGACCTCTAGCTACCACCCACCCCCAACCCCTGAAACCTCCCAACCAGCCCTCCCCGACCCCCAAAATGAGAGCCCAACCTCGAATTCGCCCACCTAAAAGGTCGTCACAGGCGTGGATTGGGTCTGGAGGTTGAAGATGAGGTCGACGTTGATATTTCGGTGGGTGTTCGTCAGCGTGGGTGGTCGTGGAATCGTGGGTGTTCGTGGAATCGTGGGTGTTCGTCAGCGGAGGAGAGAGAAAGAAGGAGTTTCGTGGGTGTTCTTTGGGTCAATCGGGTGGGGCTGCGCTGCTGCGCTTGGTCGGAGGGGATAGGCGACGGTGGAGGCGGCAGAGCCGCGGTGTAGGGCGAAGAAAAAAGGTAGAGCCGCCATGGTCTTGGGTTTCACGGTGGGTGTAAGGTGGCTGAAGGGAGAAGGGGGTGGCTGGGATAATTTTTGATATTTTTTTTTCTTTTTATTTTATTTTTTTGTATATTATGCCAATCATGTTATGACATGTGTTGTTTTTTTAAAAAAAAAAAAAAAATTTACCCTTTTAGCAGGTAACCAGCTTTTGGGACTGGTAGAGGAAAACTCAGGGCATAGTTGGGATTATTGTAGAATAAACGATAGTTGGGATTATTGTAGGTAAATCGCCCATAGTTGGGATTATTAAAGTGAATTTTTCCTATTATAAACACATGATCAATTGATGCTAATTTAAAACACACAACAACACCTCATACAAATTATACCGATCAACTTATAAAGCACAGAACAAGCAAGATAATCACTCACAACATACATAACCATGGTTTTCAATAATGCTAATAGCTAAGTGTAACGGAAACCAAGCAAAGCGAATAAACCTAAATGTGGGCATATATCACAAAAAAGCTAATCACTTACAGGACCAGCTGCATCTCCACCTACAGCAAGATCATAAAACTGCAACAAAACCCAAAAGCATTTCAATACTTCTACCATAAACCAAGCTTTAAATGTAAAATTATTAAAACATGAATACTAAGCCAGATTGCACAATATCATCAGCAGTACTACTGTAATCAAAACTTATGATAAGGAAGCATCATGTGCAGAGAAAAAAAGGCTACCAATTTATTTATAAGTGCAGGTCAGTGAATCCAAGGCCAACACAAAAAAGCTGTATATACTCATGAGAACATAAACCAAGGTACCCATGGCAATTGAAGCAACAAATGTTATGTTTCATCCATTAGGCATGTCAAAAAATTCTTCAAGGCTACATTCATCAACCTCACAAGTGGAATGGAAGAGTGTTGATGTGTCCATAATCTGTGGGAATGTTTGTCAAGGAATATCATAAATGTTCCATTTCCAAAGTCAGTAAAATGAAAGGATTGTGATCCATAATTGCAAGGATGCTAACTACAGCAATCATATTTAGATCTAAATGAAACATTACCTCTAATGTAATCCCCATGAAGTTGAGCTCTGTAAATATAGATAGATGATGAAGAAAAACAAGTAAATATAGATAGATGATGAAGAAAAACAAGTAAAGGGCCATATATTTATGCTATGCTATATATAATCACAATAAAGGCAAAAGAGTAAACACACCCAAGCCCAAAAAAAAAAGGAAAATCGAAAAAGCCAGCTACATTTTCTACTTTACAAAGCATGCGCCAGCAATCTCACTGCCCAACACTCTCATATCAGTTTTTAAAAAAGAGATCACTCTTACCCGCCGAACAATATGAAAAACCAATAGGTTAGAAGGTGCCTCATCAACAAATCCCAATGACATCACTATAAACAATGAAATACTAAAAATTTAAAATCGAAAAAGAAGGTCAGCAAGGTAAACCATATTATAAGCAATATATTATAATAAGCTAATAATAGCATCATAAACAAATGAACCCCCTTAAATAACACCAATCACTCATAATTGCATGAACACATACCTTGTTTCATTCAACTTAATTTAAAATAATGGTAGCATTAACGAATAGCAAAGCGCAGAACTAACAATAACAAATCAATCCAACAAAATCAAGAAAGCGGTCAAATATCCCAACAATGAACCTATAAATTGGCAATTAACTTATAAATTTTCAAACTAGGATGTTGTAAGGTTTTGATGATTGTGAACAAATGATGATTATCTAACTAATATGTGTATTGTGATGTGCATGAACAAGTCATGAAGCATGAAGATGATTGAGTACAGGTTAGATCATCATTGAAGATGGTTCCTACATTCAATGTATGTATCGTGCTTGAGTTCCTCAAGGGGAACATAAAGAGAAGAAGTCTAAAAGTACAAACATATTGTTAGACTTTACATGCAGTTCCTAAGAAGAATGAGAAGATGTTCTTTGCAAGGAATGAGCAGCAGCTCCTCAGGGGGAACAAGTAAAGAGAAGTTCCTTCGCGGGAGTAGAAGCTTCAGAGTAGAAGTTTCATCAGAGAAGAGAAGTTCCTTTGCAGGAACAGAAGTATCGGAGTAGAAGCTTCATCAGAGAAACATGAAGACAGAAAAATAGGAGTATATTTTTCTAGGAATCATGTAAGTATGTTGGACAAGAGAAATTGTCTGGAACAAGCCTAAGGAACTACATTGGAACTTCTGTCGATAAGGAACTTAGTGTTGATGACCAGTAAGTTCCTTACTAGTCTAGAATTCATTTATAGAAGGAACACGAGTTTGCACAACACTAGTAGTCAGTTTTCCACGTTAAATAGTCATTGCATTATGTTTGCCTAATTTATAGGAAGTTAGTTTTGACTTGGTATTAATATTTATTATTAGATTTTATTTTATAAAAGATAAGTTTTTGAAAATAAAATCTGATTTTCTCTTAGTCAAAAAGATAACTTATTTTCCTAGTTTCTAGGGATTTAGTTTTCAAATAAACTAATTTTTAAATGATTTTATATTATAAAACAAAGTTTTATAATCAAAATCTGATTTTATTGTAGTCAAAGTCGTGGAAAAAAGATTTTCAAAGTGGTTACCTTAAAAGTAAGAGTTCAGTTGAGATTTTGTTTGTTAAGGAACAAAATGAATCTGGTCTACATGTGAAGTTAAATTAATGAACGAGTGTGTTATTTTAACTTATCTTCTTAAAGAAGTCAGTTTTAAACTCCTATTTTTTAGCACAAGGACTTGGTCCCCAAGGAACTTGTGGCTGGTATTTGCAAAACGTGCTGATTGCTTTCCTACCAAAAAGGAAGTTATTGAGCAAGTCGTGGAGCAACTAATTGACCCATTATTGTTGCTTATAATCAGAATTAGTTTTCTATTCGTGGGCCTAAAGATTTGGACCACTTCTGATCATAAGGAACATGGGCAATTAGTGGGTTTTCTAATCTTCTATAAATAGAACGTTTTTAATTCTTTCAAAACTGTCTGACTTTAGTGAGTCATTCCATATAGTGTCTCACTTAAGTGGAATAGTTTTTCATGAGAAATAGATTATGTCTTCCACGTTAGTGAGTCAGTTCCTTTAGGTTCCAAGTTCCTTACATGTCTCAAAGTGTCCAACATATTAGTTTCGTACATCTATCTTTCATATGTATTTGAGAAATGTTTAAGGGTTTGAGTGAACTCTTGTATTAGGGAATTTGTAAGGGTTTGAGTGAACTCTTGTATTGGGGAGTTGGGAAGTTTGAGTGAACTTCTATTTGTGAGAAAGAGAAGAGAAAGAGAAGTGAGAAGAGAAAGAGAAAGAGAAGTGAGAAGAGAGAAAGAGAAGAAGAGAGTAACAAGTTGGGTGACTTGTTCCTCGGGGCTTTGAGTTCGTTGAGGAACTTGAAGTTAGAGTCTTTAGTTTGTAATGGGTCATTGCCCTATTCTAGTAAAGATTCTTTTCCTAAAATCCCTTGTGGTCGTGGTTTTCCTCCTTGATTAGGGCCAAGGAGTTTTCCACGTAAAAATCTCTCTTGCACTTTTAGTTCCTTTAGCTATCTTTCAGTTCCTTTAGCTTACTTAGTTTTATTTCCGCAAAAAGTTTGGCTAAACTGTCATACTACAATTCAACCCCCCCTCCTTGTAGTATTCATTGAAACAACAAAATTAATTGCACAAATTACACCAGCTAATTAGCAGCGCCAACAACAAATACAATGGCGCAACAACAGTTTGATCAAATTTATACAATAATAACGAAACAGCTAACAATAAATTAGCAATGCATTAATATTAATCTTATAAAAGTTTGCAATTATCCTATACAATTTTGCAACTAAATCAGCTAGAACAGATTGGTGTCCCACCACGTGCCAAAACACATGCAAACATTTAGTCAGAACTAATTTCTCCTCCACCACGTAGCAGGCACATGCAAAAACTTTGGAGGGCAATATAGTCATGCCACTGTAGATAAGGATTTTCCAGCACAAAATACAGGGGCAATTTCGCCCGTGCACTGTTCATAAGGAATCCCTCATTTCAGCAGCAATTCTTATTTGTGCTCCCCGGCTTTTATAGGGTAGGGATAGTGCTAGTTTTTGAGGTACCTAAAAGCTATTCAAATGCTAACGCTGAACACGCCCTTAATCGAAAACGAGTGCTATGATGTGTGGCGTTACATCTGAAGCAGCCAAGACACAACCAATACCTTTGAACTTGGAAGTGAAACTCTCAAGGTCGGGCCAGACTTCATCGTTATTCCTGAAGCTTGGAAACTTTAATTAGGGCTTCCAAAATCTCAAATTTGGTGCTTGAATTCTCGCATTTTGCTGGAAATGCTACTGCTGATAAACCCTAACAAATTCTGAATATCCCCTTTTTTTAAAAAATCAATGGCGGGTATACTGAAGCAGCTTCGCAGTTCATTCACTGTAACGCCGCATAAAGTTTCAGTGTGTATTCTTGTTCAAATCTATGCAACTCCTGGTCCATTCTTTCTTCCTGAGATTTTTTCTTCAGTTTCACATCACAATTCCTTCGGTTTGTTTTTGGTTGCTTTGATTAAGGTACAGTCACTTCTCCTCAAAATTTCAATTTTTTGAATTTTCGAATTTTTTGATTTTTTGTGATTTTTTGATTTGGGATGTTGTTGTTTCAAATTTTTGTTGACTACCCTTTTATTTGATTGGTCTTAGAATAATGATAATGAGGCTAAAATGTCGAAATTGGATTGTAATCATAATTGGGAACTATAACCTTCCACCCTTTATATTATTTTATTTATAACCTTTTGTGCTAATTTATTTGTTTATTTGATTTGGGATGTTTAGTTCATGTTAGTTGGGTACCAGTTAATTTGATTGGACTTGAGATGATGTTAGTGAGGCTATTTTGTCGAAATTCTGACTGTAATTGTAATTGAGGTCTAAGTCTTGTAATCTATTGATTGCTGATGCCAAGGGGCTGAATTCGGTGTTGTTAGTGTAAAAGGCAGATTATCAGTACATCTAATCGGAATGTTTGATTAAACTTATTGTTACAAGTTTGTTTAAATGTTACTCAGGATTTGTGTTAACCTTAATCTTTTGGATGGGGGTTGTTATTGAAAGTTGAAAATCTCGACAACTGTTTTAATTGCTGTCAAATGTGACTTTTTGTCACTGCATGTAAGGGAATGAATGTGATTCTGTACAATTTGCTTCCCACAAGAGTTGATTTCCTGTTCTATTGTGAGGGAATGAAATTTATGATGGACAATTGATCTATCTGATAGGTTTGCCAGCTCAATTTATGGGGTTTATAAATGAAATTTAAAAGCGATCAAACTCTTTAGACTAAGATGAGGTTGAAGCTAATCCTCCAATGGTGAAAGTGCCAAAATTTTTCATTAAGTCTTCTTTAGTAAAATGCGCAAGAATAGAAGGCTGGAGAATTGAATGTAAGGAACTAAGATGGGCTGATGGGGATGCGCTTGAAACGGGTATCATTTGTAGGCTTCAGGTTTGAATTGTATTTAGGTTCTTATTTTAATTTGAATCTTGTCCTTAATCTTGCATTTGTAAACTGTAACACATAGCTCCATTATTAGTTGGTGTCATGGTTGTGCTACCTTGGTTCTCTTGTCCATTTCCAAAGGTGTGTTTTTGTAATTCTTTCAATTTGATGGCAGCAGGATATACTGTTTAGTTTTCTCTATCTTGGATTTGCATTTCACTATGTCATTAGTTCCTTTTTGTGTTCTGAATTTATGTTTCCTAGGATGTTGTTCAATTTATTACAAAAGACGTATTATCCTTCAGTGAAATCTCACATAATTTTTCTATATTATCTTATAAATTTATGTGTTTATTTATCATTGCCTTTTCATTTACATTAGCAATTTCCGGAGTTATCTCTATTTTTTTTGATACTCCTTGTGTTTTTTGCCTTGTTTTTGGTCCAAATTTTCTTCAGCATACATATTAGCACTGAACACATTACTGATTGATGGCATTACAACTTTCTTTCAGTCTTATGATGATATAATGGAGCCAAAGCTAGATAAACTTCTATCTCAACTGCGGGAAATTGGTGGTATGCTAGACCAGAGATTAACTCACAGGCTATCATCACTGTCATCACCTGATGAGCTGTTTAATTTTTTCACTGAATTACAAGGTGAGTCCTTTTCATTTTATTATTAGCCTTTCTTAGCAAATTAACTTTTTTTTTTTTTTGTCAAAAGTTACGTTAAAATTGGTTCTGTTTGAATCATGAACCTGAAAATTTATAAATGGATGCACTTCTTTTAGGCATCCTGGGGGGTCAAGACTCGAGTGTTATAGAAGATGATCAGATTAGTCTGGACCCTAGCAGCAACCTTGGAATGTTTCTGCGTCGGTGTATACTTACCTTCAATGAACTATCCTTTGAGGTAATAATTGGTCTTTGTTGGTTATCAAATTTGAGCAGCCAACATTAGAGATTTTATAAAACTCTTCAGGAAAAATTGCAGAATGGCCTAATTATCATGCAGGTGTAGATGCCAGCGTGGCATTTGCTGCATACTCTAAAAAACACCAATGATTAAGTTAAATGCAAGTGTGGACAAGATGTCCATCGGCAGATAAAGTTTTTGTTGGAAAGCTGACTTGTTTGAAATTATTAACAATATATTTTTCTTAAGGCAACTAAGCTTTTTTCAGTTAAATGAAGTTTTAATAAATCTTTGGCCACCAAATTCACCTCCCATTCTCTGTACGTTGCTCCTTCTTCTTCCACCATGAAGCCAAAATCCACTAGTGAGTAGTGACATCCTCTACCTCTTTTGATCAACATCTTCCCGCCCCTCAATGCGACACCACCACCATGGTGTCACACTTTTTTTTTTAAAATAATATTTTATATTTCTCCTTTCAGAAATTCTATCTTTTGTCACACTGTTTCCCATCATACCTAATTTCCACTTAAATAACAATAAATACCCTATTAACTCTTATCACATCTAATTTTTTGTTTAAAATACCAATAGAAACCCAACCACAATGTATCCTAAAGCTATGTGCACTGAAACGTGGATAAGTATTCGAATTAATGTAAAGTGAAGGGAGTTGCGGCACTCCTAATTATAATTGTATATTTTGTATTATAGAACCTAAATTGTATTGTATTATAAAGAGTCATCAATCATTAACCTCTCACAAAATAAAATACATTGAAGAGTCATTATTCTTATTCAATTATGAACAACGAAAGTCCCACACATATCACCTCTTTTTATATAGTTGATTAAAAAAAGGTGTGGAGTAATTAGTTTATTAGCCCTAAAATTCTAAGAGGGAAGGGGGGATGATTCTACTATTTGTTAAACATAAGTTTAAGCATTTTACTTACTGATCTTATTCTAACCCTTCGTTTCGATAGAAGGAAATGGAGGAAAAGAGGGGATTGGAAATGGAGTATTGAAAGGGAATTGGAGGAGAGAGAAAGGGAGGGTTAAATTATAAAAAATTGAAAGTAAACTATCATTCTTCCCTCCCTTTCCTTCTTTTCCTTTCTTTTATTTATTTTTTATTTTATTATCATTATTATTATTATTATTATTATTATTATTATTATTATTACTATTACTATTATTATTATTTATTTTTTTTTTATAAATTTGTTTAATTTTTTTTTTTAATTTTTTTTAACACATTGTAAAGTAATTTTCAAGCTGTTTTTATTGTTTAAAAATTACTTCGTATAAAATTTCGAATTGTCCTTATAATCGGTTAACTTTTCTTGATACTCCCTCTGTTTTTCTTAAATGCATTAATTTGATGGGTGCATATGCCGGGACACAACTTTGACCATCAATATCTTTAATTAGCTGTTAGTAAAAATTATATATATATAAAAAATTATTAATGAAGACATTGTGACTAATCCAACAATATATTACATGAGGACATATATTTATTATATATCAATAAAAAAATTAAGTCAAGGTTAATATATGATTAGTGTACAAATCCAAGAGTTGCATTTAAAAAAAACTGGAGGGAGTAATCTCAGATGGTTTAATATAAAATAATCTACTATTCTATCTTAATTCCTTAATATGTGTTTTAGTTATTCTAATTTTTATTGCAATTAATATAAAGTTCCTCTTTATATAGGTAGTTAGACTAGACATTAGAAAACCAAATTCTTCATCTGTTTATTTTCCTGTTTTCTTCCTGCTTCTCCATTGTCTCATGCTTGTTCTTTGTGCCTTTTGGTCTTAAGAAATCATACTACTTTTGTTTTCTCCCTCTGTTGATGGCTTGATGCTGTCTTTCTGTTTTCATTCTTTACAAGGTATCTTGTGTGAACTACTGAAGTGATAGAAGGGCTTAAAGAAAATGCTTCTGAATAATGTATTGATAATTTCTTTTGCTGTACATTTTTGTCCTTCTAATGCAGGGAATATGTCATCTGCTGTCAGATTTAGAATCATACTGTAAAGAAGTACTATCTGGTTCTCCTTCTTTCGATTTGACCCGATTAGATGGCTGTACTGATGAATCTGACAGATTAGTGGAATATGAGAAGATGGACCTGGATAGTTTTGCTTTTCAGGAAGCTACTGAAAAAGCTGAAACAAGTAATAGAGCTGGTAAAGGAATTTCATTCCATCTACATGTGCCAAAAGTCCTTGATGAGCTGGTTGAAGGTAAGTTTATTGTCTGCTTGTAGCAACACAAATAGATGGGCTATGGTGTTTTTACTTTTTATTTTTTTTATTTTTTAATTTTTTCATTCTTTTATTCTTTTATTTTTTATTTAAATGCATCTCTGCTTCTAAAGTTTCAAGTCTTATAGGTAGCTTAATTAATCAGTCAATCAAAATATCAGCTTCTATGAGATTTGTCTGACAGGATAGCTGTAGTTTTATACATAAAAAGCACTAGAGCTGCAAGTAGTTGTTCCATGTTGGATTTTCTTAGGTATCCTTCATGAAGAAATTGATGATCATTAATGGCAGATGTCATAGTACTTGACAAAGCTGAGACTCCTTCCAAAAGGGAAAAAATCCCTCTTTGACTTTGCTATTGCCTACCATTCCGTATCATTCTTTACATGTATTTGACCAAAACATTCTCAAAATTAGATATTTAGAGCTAAAAGTATGGAAGTATGATTCTGAAACATATTGTAATGAAATCAAACAAACATAACTCCTTATATCAATTCTAATATATATGTAAAGCCGCTTAAAGAGATGAAACACGACCTTTGCTGGGGATTCTCTTGCTTTTCCAAAACCTATTTACTCTATATGCTGCTTTTTTTCTTTTTCAATACCTTAATTAACTTGTTTGTGCCTTATAAGTTTCCTTGATGACTGTTTTCTACCTATAACCAACTACTGAGGAATATGTTTCACAAGCTTTGTTTTAAAGTTTCTTGACGACAATAGAAACTTTGTTTATCTTGCTTAGTAAATGCTTTGTTTTAGGCTAAGTTTACCTGCCATAGCAATCCAGAAAAGTGGATGTCTAATTCTCTATTAGTCTCGGCCTATCCATCCTAATTTCTTCGCAGTTATGAATCTGAGCCCGAAATCCTTTACAGCATTTTTGTAAAATAATTGACTATGTGGCAAGTCGCACTTGTAAGTTTGAGTTGTTGATTTGTCATGGACATTCTAGGATTTGTAACTGGTTGCATAGAGGCTTCTTTTAAATTTTATTCTTGTCGATAGCTAATTTGAAAAGAAGACATGTAAATTTGTTAAATGGTGACTTAGAAAGTTGGTGTTTTAAGTGTAGGTGTTGAGGTTTCTGCGGCCGTGAAACATAGTGCTAAAGCCAAAGAATTAAGCCCATTTATAGAAACTGATGCACTGGATAAAGATGATGACAATGCTGGTAAATTTTTGCATTCAAATTGGCAAGTTTACGGATACTTGCTACAAAAAGCTGATGAAATTGAAAAGTATGCATTTTTGTTGTTTAATGTCATTTTTCTTCGTTTATGTTGTTTCTTAAAATCTGAGAGGTATGCATGTTCCAGGCACGGAAGTTCTTTTCCTCTAAATACTCTAGAATCTGATCTGAAGCAACTCCATAAATTGGCTCCTGAATTACATCGTGTAAGTACTAGTATGCTAATCTTGTCCTGGTGGAGGGGACAGCTATTTTTTTTTGGCAATGTTGCCTTATCAGGTGTAAGTTGTATCACAAAGATTGGTTTTAAGCTAATTGTATCCATTTCCTTAATCCTTTAAACAGGTCCATTTTTTGCGCTATTTAAACATGCTGCATCATGATGATTATTCTGGTGCTTTGGAGAATCTCCATCGTTATTTTGATCATAGGTGAGCATTCAAAGGCATGTTGGGCATCACTCTATCCTGTTAAAATATTCACCTTGATTCTTTTTGTTAGCTTTCTTTGTTGGGATAGCTAAGTTTTCTTGCTTGAACCTACTATAATGACTCAATTGTTATTTGGGTATTTTCATTAAGCGATCAGCATTGTAATTATGATTGATTAACATTGTAGTTATGATTGGTGGATTATGGAAGTATAACTATTCCTTTGTCCCTAAATAAAATTCTCATTTGCCTCTTTCACATGTTTTCAGGATGGTGAATAAAAAAATAAAAAAGTGAAGTTTAGTTGATTAAAGGTGAATATAAATCACAAAGATCATGGGGTTTGGTTGATTAAAAGTGAATAAAAAAGTAGGGTTTGGTTGATTAAAAGTGAATTAAAAAAAAGAAGATTTTGGTTGATTAAAATTAGATAAATAATGGATATTGATGAGATTAGCCTTCTAGGGAATTCCGTCCGAGTAGAGGTCTCCGTTAAGGAGATCCGCTGTCTCCCTTTCTGTTCATCTATATCCATTCTTTATATCTATTTGAAAACCAGCGGTACCAAATCACGAGTTTCTTATAGCGGCTAGTGAGTATGAGGTTCTAATATGCGTGCAAAACACAATATCTATAAAGGTATAACAACAACGCAAGCATAAGAAAGCAAAGCAAAACCGGGTAGAAGGCCTTTGGATTATTTAATCACTTGCTCTCTAAAGAGCTTTAGTTTGCGTTTACTAGATTCTCCCATTTAACGTTGGATGGGTTGACAGTAATGCAATAATTGCATCTAAGGCCTAGAAAACTTATACTAAAGCCTAGAAAAGCATCTAAAACATGGAACGGAGGTTGGATTATAACACAATGGCTAATATCTGTTCATCAGTACAATCTTTTTAAATGTGTAAGAATCCTGCTAGGACCTGTTATCAAGGTTGATATCTCTTAGAGTTTGTGCTTCTCTTGTCTCTTTGTCCCTGTAACAGTGAATAAAAATTTTCTAGTTTTTTTTTTATAGGAAAAGTTTCTTTGGGTCTTGTACAAGTGAGTTGACATTATATGTATGGAATTGAAGTGCAGGGATGGAAGGTTTTGATCTTTCTTCATCTTCCACTGAAAGCAACTGCTTTGGGAAATATGAGATTGCATTGTTATGTTGTGGAATGATGCATGTTCACTTTGGCCATCCTAAATTAGCTCTAGAAGTATGTACACCTGAACACATGTTTTTTACCTAACATTGTTTTACGTAAGATTTTTTTGCTTACTTGTTCTTGTTAATGTTCAGGCTTTAACAGAAGCAGTCCGTGCTTCTCAGCAGGTAAAGGGGCTTTTATCTAAGTTACTTTTGTAAAATAATATGTACTAATTTCACTGTGCTTCTAGGCCTGCATATGCTAGCCCATTGGCTTTTCTTTGTCGTCTGTTCTCACTTATCTACAATGATTTTTGGGGTTTCTTGAGGTACTTCTTTGATAAAGATAAAATTAGCTTTCATTAGATGATATAAAGTACCCGTTAGATGACAAAACTTCCGTTCTACTTTTCTAGACATTTGTACAAGGATAATTGTAATTCTGAAATGGCTGCAAGTTTTTAAGGATCTATTGTCTAAGACAATAAATTCTTCTTTGTACTTAACCAACTTATTAGTTGCGTTTTTTCTTTGGAAATGATGGATTGCTCTCTAACTAAACACTGTACAAAATGCTTGTTAAACTTAGACACTTAGTGCCTAAGTTAAATCTTTTCCCTATCATCCTAAAACACCAATAGCTGAATAGGGATGCTCACATTCTCTCTTATAGATAAAGAAATTATATACTAAGAAAACAAAAAATCAAAATGGGGGAGCACTGGTATCCAGAAATTAAGCAGACACTAAAACAGTGCTCATAGTTATCTGTGTGTCAACAAGTAATATTCCAGAGGTTTCTTGGGAGCATGTGGACTAGTAGATGCTAAGCACATTTCTCTTCAACAATTTCAACGTCATGGTAGTGAAGAAAGCTGATTGACTACACCTTTTGCCTCTTATTTGTCAAATAGTTCACTAATGGGAGTCAGCTTGTTGCTCATGCAATGCTCATGCAAATCTACTCTTGGATTTCTTGAGCATATCATGTAACTCATTTACAATAGCAACAACTCTCTTTTTAAATTTTCTGTCTTGAAAATTAATTGGGCTAACAACCCTTCTGTTTCCTTGCAGCACAGCAATGATGCATGCCTTGCTTATACATTGACAGTTATATGCAACTTGCTGTCTGAATTTGGTATAACAAGTGCTTCAAGGATACTTGGATCATCTTACTCACCTATGACTAGTATTGGTTCTTCTCTAACCATCCATCAACAGTTATATGTTCTATTAAGAAGAGCTCTTGCTAGATCAGAAGGTCTAAAGCTGACACCATTAGTGTCTGCGAACCATCTAGCAATGGCAAAATTTGACCTGATGGTAAGAATTTAGAATAATTTGTATTAATCGTGCTTTTCTATGTAATTTCTGGACTCCTTGGTTTTTTTTTTTTTTTTTTTTTTTTTTTTTTTTGGCTTTTTTGTTTTAGTTAAACATATACTCCTTCCCATTCAAAGTGTGTAACATGTTAGCCAATTTCCTTTCATTCAAAATGTTAGTCATTCCTTAATAACAACACTACATTACATATTTATTTAAAATCTAGTTATTTTATAATACTAATGCAATATATGCTGCTTAACAGTATGATTACCTTTTGCAAATTCAACCGAATTGATGGATTCTTAATATGTGTGATAGTTGCAAATATTACAATTTTTTATGCATTAGAGAGAGTATTTAGAGTTTAAGTTTGACACTATCTTTTTCATGTGTTTCTTTGATCTGTATGTTATTCGCCATTGTACTTGTCTAAATTAATGTACAAACTAAATTAGTTGAAATATTTCTTAGATTGACCTAGATTCTTGATTATCAATGCCATATACAAAGGTAGCCAGTGTAGAGAAACTTTAACTAACTGCTATGAAAGGGTAAGAAATGAACTGACTTTCAAATCTTCGATGTTGTGAATGACTTATTAGCAAGAATGTGCTGAACATAATGTATCTAGCGGAGGAAAAAGGATGTAATTTAGAAAGTTAATATGGTATCATATTAAATTAGGTTGAGCTTTTGCATTCTGCTGAGCTTGAAACCTTTTGCATTCTGTTGAGCTGAAAAGCTAACAGTCTATGCCTTTATAGAATAAGTTGTAACTGTGGTTTCAGTTTGAACTTGAGAACTCTTCTTATTTACAAGGGTACCTAGGCTTGGGTCTTTCTTGTTCTTTTGTCATTGTGTCTGAGCCGGGCTGCATATTTCTGAAGGTGCATGAGAAGAGCACTCAGTTTTAGATTGTCCTCCTTGGACTAGAAAAGACTCTACTGTTGCAGGGATCTATATTAGTTGGTGGTTGAACAGGTGAGCTATACACATGCCATTTTCTTAGAGCCCTCCTTTGCTGTCTGTAGTCTTTTTACACACTTTGTAAGCTTCTCAACAATATGATTTTCTTATGTGTATAAAATTTTATAAGGAAATAGAAAAATGTTTTTAATTTTTTTTTAATCTGGCTGATCCTCCTATATTGAAAATAGCTATGCTTTTGCTCTCAAGTTTTTGAAGTAAAAGCTTATCTATTTTCCTCCTCGATTTACACATCACACTTTCTTTTTTCAATTGAAGAATACTGGTTAAGTAATAGTATGAATTAGTTATTTAGACAAAAGGGGTTTCAGTGTAGTTAAGAGCTGGGGTAGAGGTCTCAAAACTCTCAGTATCTTGAAGGAAGAGCTCATGTATCATCCTTTTCCTTGACTTGCCTCAGGTGTGAAGAGGTATTGTCGTCCTGTGTTTCCCAAGTTATTATCCGCATTACTTGGAGAAGGATGCTAAATAAATGTGCCATATCTAGATGGATAATAGATATTGCAGATGAAAAAGAACGTACAGATGGTAAATGAGAAACTGTTGCTCATAAATAAGAATTTCATGTCCCATTGTGAACAAACTAAATGAAGTGTAACTAGTTTGGTGTCCTTCCATACTCTTGCTACTTGTAGTATCTAAATTAGTGTTGGGGTAGTTCATTCTAAAGTACAGTCCTAGCTTTACTGAACCATGAGTGAGGCCTCTCACTTTTCAGCTCTATAAATGAGTTAATGATTTTCTTTCCAATTCAATTGTAGATTTGAATGTTGTGAATAAACTATTTATTTTGCAAATTTACTTAGGTGCTGTATTTGTGATATATGTGCAGCATGTCCAAAGATCTATGCTATCTTTTGGTCCCAAAGCATCTGTTAGCCTTAGAACACGTCCAGCTGATGTTTTTCAGGTATCATGCTATATTCCAGTAACTTTTTCTTTTCAATTTTCCATTTGGTATTTCAAGGTTTAACACTTTTTTCTCATGCTATTATATACAGGAACTGAGGCTAAGCTCCCATGTGGTCAGTGAATTTAGTAATGAAGCCTCTGCAATGTCTCGTGATGGTGATTTTGCTACGGCATGGTTGAAGAACCCACTTAAGCCAATGGGTCCTCTAATGATAAACTCAGAAATTGGTTCAGGAAGTGATTGTAGTACATTTGAGTTTTGTGCTCAACAGAGCTCAATTCCTAAATCTGTGCTACAACAACTTGGTTCATCATTCTTACTTCGCACCACAGCATGGGAGATGTATGGCAGGTGAGGGTTAATGATGTCACTCTATGTGGGCTATTGTGTTTTATTTCTCCTGTACTCAGTTTGGTTTTTCCCCAAGCCTAGAATTCTATCTTGTGCATCTTTGTTTGTTTTTTATTTTTATTGCTGTTATTATCATTGTTTGACCTGTCTGTTATCTGCTTTCTCAATTTGTGCTGTAGCAACTCACTTGCCAGGATAAATGCCCTAATTTATGCCACTTGCTTTGCTGATGCTTCAAGGTATTGTGTTCATCTATCCCTGAAGCTGATTATACTAATTTCATGTATGCAAATATGCAGTATAAAGCTGTTTTTGTTGTTTATTAACAATGTCCCTTGGGCTGCATCAGCTTGGATAATCTTGCCTTAGCCTGTGTGAAGCTTGTCCAACAACTTGCTGCTTATAAAGGCTACAGGGGTAAGATTTCATATAAGTAGCTCTTCAGTTGAATATTTAGAAGTGCTCTTTAGTCATGACTATAGTATACGTGTGCTGTCTTCCAATTTGGAGCATCATTTTATTTTCCTGATGGCTGTTCTTATAGTAATCTTTGTTGTTGATCAAAATACCGTTACTTTTCAAAAGATATAGCAGTCATCATAATAACTTTTGCTGTATATTTTGTGCAGAAGCATATGTTGCATTCGGAATAGTTGAGAAGAAGTTCCATGTCATTTCAAAATCAAGAGTCTTGCTATTGAAGCTTCAGCTTCTCCATGAACATGCCTTGCATAGGTATTTCTTCTTTGTGGCATGCGTCCTTGTGATACTTTGTTTTTCTTTGTTGCAACACTTTTACACTTGCTAATGTGCAATTTTGATCATTAATATCTTTAATTCTCAATTTGTAACAAACTAATAATTACTGATGGTTGATCATATAAGAATATATTTATAAATAATACAACAATATTTCTGTAGAAATTTTTATGATCAAAGTACCCCCTCTGCCCCAAAATAATTCAAACACTTTTCTTTTTCCATTCGTCCCAAATTTGTTTGAACACTTTCGAATTTACATAGGCCCTCTTAATATTTTGATACATATCCTTTTCCACTATAAAAAAATTAGGGCCCTGCTTTTTTTCACATCCAATAAACAAAATATACTATCTCTGCTCTTTTATGTTCTAGTCACTTACTATAGATTCACAATATAATGAATGTAGAATGTGAGTGGGTGTTAGATAAAGTAAGAGAGAATGTAAAAAGGTGGGTTTGTGTTAAAACAAGGTGAATAAAGTAAAAGAGTATGAAAAATGTAATTATTGTGAGGTTGAAGTGGTAAGATGGTTAAAGGTGCATGCCATAAATAGAATAAAACAAAGTGGATAGAACATAAAAGAACGGCTTAAAATGAAATGTCAGTAGAACACAAAAGAGAACTGAGGGAGTACTTCTTTATCTTCTATCACATCTACTTCCAAAATCCACTTTCCTATTAAACAATACTTCCTCTGTTTTTATTTAGTTGCAACAAATCTATTTTCCACCCCCTTGCCAATGCACAACTTCAACCATTAATTATTAAAAAATATGCATTAAGATGAATCTAACAAGATCCCACATAATCACCAAGGCTAGCTAAAGTAAAATTTTTGAATAATGCAAAAAATGTAAGCGTTGCAATTAAATAAGTACAGAGGAAGTCGTTGATACCATTTCAATACCTTATCACCTAAAACTCTATGCCCAGAGAAGTATTTCGAACTATTTTGGTAAACATACAATTTATAAACAGTAACAGTTGTGCCTGTCCAAAAAAAAAAAACAGTAACAGTTAATTTAATCTGAAAAAGAGCTTTTTAGCTAGCCTCACTTTTATTGGGTCCCTTAAACAGAGGACATTTGAATCTTGCTCAGCAAGTATGTGATGAACTTGGTGCATTGGCTTCCCCTGTGATTGGTGTTGATGTAGATATTAAGACTGAAGCAAGCCTTCGCCGAGCTCGAACATTGTTAGCAGCAAACCAGTTTAGCCAGGTTAAAACTCACTTTCTTCTTTCCATAGTTCTATTTACTAGGCTTGTTGTAGTGTGGTGTTTTGTAATTTATGTCTTGATCTTTGTCAAACATTCTGTTGAGTATCCCCACTTGTAATAAATCCTCTAATACTACAAAACTTATCATTATTATCTTTGTGTAATATTACTGTCTTGGAGTAGACGGTTTAGGTACATCGTAAGGTCAAAGGTGATGGGTTTTACACTGTTTGACATTGTAGCATCAGATAGTAGTATTGAATTGAATCTCTAGACCTCATATAACAAAGTTTAAAGTGTTCATTACTCTTAATTTATCGTAAATGTATTCAATTATCACTTATTATATACATGGGCATTTTGGTGCCTACAAAGTAGTAACGCTGTCATTGCCGTGTTTAACTAAGAAATTTGTTGATGTTATTAATCTAACTGGAAGGCAAGGATCCAAAAGTTATCTATGGTTTTTAAGGTATGTGTTTTAACCTCCGAGGAAGAGGGGTGTGGATACTGGCTGCATTGTGCAGTTTCATGGTATAACTCTTGCAATTACCAAATTATGCTCTATGTTTAATTGGTTGGAGCTGTGAATCAGACATTCGTATCTACGGTTGTGTTTCAACATTTATTAGTGGCACTTGGAGCTTAGAAAGAGGAGATTTGGAGAAAATAGGAGGGGAGGGAGAGTAAGAGATTGGTTTCTGCTTGCATGTTTTGGAGGGGAAAGGAATGGAAAGGGGGTATCCAAATTTTCTTAAGTAAATACAATTTTTAAACTGTTAAAATGATATTGCTAGCTTTTTAATTCTCCCTCATCTCTCTTCCTTTTTAATTGTTACCCAAACTAACTTTAGATGTCATGCTTGCAGGCAGCACAGGTTGCACAATCTCTTTTTTGCACTTGCTACAAGTTCAATTTGCAAGTTGAAAATGCAACAGTTCTGCTGTTGCTTGCTGAAATCCACAAGGTACCAAATACATACTGAAGCTATTCGTGTTATTCATATATCTATTACATAGAATTGTATTGTATGCCTATTTGTTGTTGTGACTGGCCAGCATAGTTTATGTTGTTGAAATTTAGGAAGTATAGGAACCCTTAAAACCTCTGTGTGTGGCAATCATATGATAGGGCCTAGAAGTGTGACCTACACCTCTTTTCCTCTTTGATGTCTGCACTTATCAAATTTATTTATGCTGTTTGGATCTCCTTCCCGCCCTCTTAAAGGTAGAAATACCCTTCTTTAGCCTGATTGAAAAAATAAGGAAAGAAGAATAGGTGATGCTAATTGAAGCTTTCTGCTAATGTTCTGGTGTAAATGTTTTACAGAAGGCTGGGTAGCTTGAGTCTATTTTGCTTTATGTTAAGTTATATAAGAGGTTTTGGTATATAGTGATGGATAAGAAGGCTTTTGATCTTTGGCAGGGAAGGTAGATTGTAAGTCTCATCTACATGTATATTTTGTGTTGGTGGATGGTATCTTCTGCTTTGGTGCTAGGTTATTACTCTCTCCCATCTTATCAGTTTTGGCAGTCGATCATCTGAGTTGGTTGTTTGTCCATGGGAGAACTCGGAGAAGTATTGGTTTCATGAATGGTTTTCATTGAATTAAGGCTGAGGTGATGGTGTCTCCTTTGTAGTTTACAGATGATATTGTTACTTTCTTGTGGAGTTTCCGCACGCTTAATTAAGTTTATTGGGTTAATTTAGACCCTTAGGTTTAATTTTTCTAAGTTTGTTATCACCAATAATAAGTAACTCTCTTGGATGGGTTTTCTTCTTTGTTGGGGTTTGTCACTAAGTTTGGTATTGCCAATATTATGTTTTTTGAATTGCTCTTAGGATTAATTTATTTTAGTATCACCCCTCCTTGCATGTCCTTTGTCTGCTCTAATAATAAGTACTGTAAGAAGGAAAATTGATTGAAGTTTATTAACTTATGCTGTCACAGAAATCAGGAAATGCTACCCTAGGCCTTCCGTATGCATTGGCTTGTATACTGTTTTGTCAGTCTTTTAACTTGGACCTTCTGAAAGCATCTGCGACCCTCACACTGGCTGAGTTATGGCTCTCCTTTGGACCAACTGAAGCACATAGAGCACTGTCACTCCTTCATGGAATTTTCCCGATGATTCTTGGCCATGGAGGTTTGGAGCTCCGTGCACGGGCACATATTATTGAAGCTAAATGTCATCTCTCTGATGCAAATTATTCAGGTATTACCTCTTTCTCTGCCTGTTTGTCTTTTTGACTTGCTAAGATCCTTGTTCTCCTGTGAAAATTGTGCACAGTAAATTGAAACAAGTGCTTCAATATTATAGATAAATATTAGTATACACATGCATTAGCTGATGCCAAAATGCATGCAGATAGTTCAAACTTCAAAGGTGTTTTCCACAGAATGAATTATATCTTATTTCCTTTTATGAAAACAAATTAAAGACTTTTATGGACCTTTATTGGTCATCACTATCCAATTTATATGAGCATGAGTCAGACTGCAGACATCACATTCCATTAAAATGAGAGGGGGCCTTAAAAGAGAGCACTATTTTTTTTTTTTTTTTTTTTTTTTTTCCATGTTTGAAAAGAACACTTTAGTTGATGGCTCTTGAAATCTGTGGCAGTTTGGGCTAGCTGGCCGGTTTATGTTTTGTTACAGTAGGTTTTGATACGCTGGCTTTACACCTCTTACGAAAGTTATAATGAATAACGTAGGTAGAAAATTAGTTGCTGGCTGCAGCACTAAGCTCTGTTGCCTGTTGATGACAACGAGAAACCAGAGGAACCTTTTGTTTCCCAGGTTGGATGAATCTTAGTTAGTCATAGAGACAAAATAGACGATTATGTTGTACTCCAGGAAACGAATTACCTCTATCCAGTAAAATTTTGTCTTTATGTTGCACTCGCCAACTATGTTGCTTGACCTGTGTCTAGATGTTACTAACTTTGGGTTTGAATCTCTTGTTAGTGAGTCAAACACCAGAGGCAGTGCTCAACCCTTTGAAGGAAGCCTGTGAAGAGCTTGAACTTTTGGAGGTAAGTAAATCTTACACTTCATTCAATTTTCACTCTGAAGCATGCCATTTTAAGTATATACATCTCATATTGATTTGAATAACCTAGTAATGTTTCCTTTTGTTATTACTGCAGTACCATGAGTTGGCTGCGGAGGCTTACTATCTTATGGCTATGGTATATGACAAATTAGGCTCCTTACAAGAGAGGGAGATAGCCGCAGCCTCCTTCAAGGATCACACTACTGCTTCAAAAAATCCTCAAGATTCCGATGATGACACTTTAAACAGTATGTAGACAAAGTACAAACGCTATTTTTGTAAGTAAGAGTTGACCTCTTCTATCTTGTAGATGTTGGGTTCAAGGATTTAGCTCAGGGCCAAATGCTGGCCACGCCTTTTCTCTTATGGGAAGGACAAGCCAAGGCATACCAACCACCCTATCTCCAATGAGGAAGACAACACATGACAGTCGACAAATGCCTGCGCGATAATGTACAAAACTAGTTGTATCTTTATTTGAGTATATTGCAGAAGCAATTCTAAGTCTTCTAACCATCTTCACAATTTACAGTAGGCTTCTGGGCGGTTCTGCTAGAAATGGGAAGCTTAGAGATTTTTGTAGTTAGCTTTGTGAAGATCCTTCTATTGTGATGTATACAGTATGTTCAATGTTCAGTAAAGATGTAATATCCCGATATGTCGTTGCAGAAATTTCATGTAATTGCAATTTCATGTCAAATAAAAAAATAAAATAAAAAGATCTACTCATAAAGTTATAAACATATTAATATGTCAGTTATACATGTCACATAAATAGCACCATGAAACAAACATTTATATAAAACCCCGTTACTACAGGTGCCTCTATACATACAATGATACAAGCATACATCAGCCCATCTTCACACAACGTTAATGTAACTAGTGTTTTTGGTATGCTACGAGGTTTATCTAGGCCGCTACCACCATAAAGACACCATGGTCGTGACTCGTGAGCACGTTGATGTTGTCCATGTTCATAATTTCAGGCAGCCGAAAGTGTCTCATGAACCATGACTACGCTCGATATGATGTCTCCCATCAAAAGCATCCTCCCACTCCTTGATTTTATCTCAAATAAGTTTGTTGTGCTGAATTTGAACCTTCACTAGAACTTTCCGCACCCCTGTAAACATTATTGATATTGTTACTACAAAACGCTACTATTTTAGATAAAAGAGATCTTGCTAAGTAGCAAGCTGATGAATATATTGAACACAACCCTATAGCACACCCTATTGCTAGGGTTTCTTCTTTTGCTTTCATTTTCTTAAACCTCACTAATTTTTATGTTTTTTTACTTTTAAAGAGAATAAGGCACCATAAAACAGTCTTGTCAAAAAAAAAAAAAAAAAAAAAAAGGCACCATAAAACAAAATTGTATGACAGGATGTGAGATTAGTATATCTTTTTTTTTTGGGCGCGGTTTATTTATAGTAAGAAGTTAATACGAGCAATTACAAAGCAAGTTTAATTTAGTCATCTCAAAGCACATAAAATTTTACCTTACTATATAAATTGAATTAATCTGATTTGAGGTTACTAAAAAGTAAAAAAGTGTCGTACACAATAAACCCATTGTATATTTTCTCCCGATACAAAAAGAGAAATGTAAAACAAATCAGTTAGATCAGCACAGTCAACATCACAACATGAGCAGCGACATGAGCATGAGCCAAAGCAGAAGTATCATCCTCTCTATAATTATTGATGGATCAGAGTTCAAACCATCTCAGAGCAAAAATATTATGAAAGGTCCATGTTTCCTTATTAAAAAAAAACGTTGTTATTGATGCATAGTAGATATATATTACTTCTTCTTCTTCTTCTTCTTCTTCTTCAAAAAGATATATACTACTTCTGTTATCTATTATTATTATTATTGTTAAACTCTAGATATATGTTACATTAATAAAAATGCTTAGTACAAGGTTTGAATACAAGACCAATAAGAATTAAACTAATGTTCTAACCATCTTTGGTTCTCGTTTAATTATGTTTCATGTTCAATTAAAATAAACTACGTAAATACTTTGTATTAAACATCAATTTAAGAGCACTTATTTAGTTTTATAGTTATTATTGTTCACTTTTATTTTAATTATGCAATATGTTTTATAGGTCAAATATATTTGTTGATATTATTTAAAGTAAAACTCGGTGCATTGTGTGGGTACACACTAGTTAGTTAATTATTACACGGAGTAGCAATTAACAAAGGGCGTATGTGTCTATCAGTAAGTATGTAGCGTGGCAATTAACAAGACATGGCCCTAAAACTTGATACGCCTTCACAGGGAAGTCAACTTTTATAGATTGAAGAGTACCAAATAAGCACAGTTTGTGCCAAATTAAAATTAAAAATTAAAATATTAATTAGAAATTAGGCACTTTTTATTTATTTTTTTGGTACTAAAATATTTGATTTTGGTATAAAAATGTACTCAAGACTTGTTCTCTTCGACTTGTTTCATGTGCTTATTAGTTATTACATATGAGAACTTTTAGTTATCATTTATTTATAGGAAATTCACAATGGTAACCCCCAACTTCTGTAATACTAAAATGGTAACCCTTTTTTTTTTTTTTTTTTTTTTTTTTAATTATTGTACTAAATTACCTCAATTAGGGTCTACATGTTCACTTCACCTTAATTTCCTCCAGATTAATTGGTAACCTCCAACTTCTGTAAAACTCAAGCTTCCTCTCGCTGGATGGATTAGAAATTTTTGGGTCGTCACTCAAATAATTGGGCTTTAGATGCTAGTATTATTTTCTCCCAAATTAATTCTCCGGCTCACTTGCCTTTTAATCAGTATGGGTCTCATTTTCATTCTGATATAACCCGAAACCGATAATAACCCAAATCGAATACTTTTGAACCTGATAGCAACCTGACCCATTATAAACCAAAACTGTTTAAATCGACAAAAATCTGATAAACCTAAATCGTTTACAACCCGTATTTGATTATAACCAAACCGTTTATAACCCGTAAGCCCGTTACTTGTTATGACCGTAGAGGATTTTTTTAGTATATTTTGTCGATAGTAAAACAAAAGATTTTAATTTGAATTACGAAGTATTTATACTGAATAGGTTTGGAATTTTGATGTCATTGAAACTCTTGTGCTAATATATTATTGTCCTTTTACTTGTAATGGCTTATGGAACAATATATTATGCTAAAATAAATCTGAATCAAAAGCTAACTCTAGATTTGTTATTATTATTTGATCCCAAAAATCATTATACAAAAAAGGGACATAAAGCTAAACAACTAATTAATACGTACTCCGTATGATCCACTGGAATAACTAATTAAAGAATGTTGAGGATATACTAGAAGATATACATTAACGAAACCCGTTTAAAACTAGCAAAATCAATTGTCAAACCGACAGAGTTTAACTTGAACCGATTATGACCTAAACCGATTACAACATGACCCGATATGTTTTGACCCAAAACCCGCTTTAAATTGACAAACCCGTTTTTAAACCGACCGAATTTAACTCGAATGGATTATGACCCGAAAAGAAACTGTAATAAAAATAAATCAAACCGAACCGACCTGAAATTATTTAAAACCGACCCGAAAAGAAACTGTAATAAAAATAAATCAAATCGAACCGACCTGAAATTATTTAAAACCGACCCGAATTGACCCGATAATAATTCAAACCCGTTAAAAACCGACCCTTTACAAACCGAAAACTGATAAACCGAACCCAAAAACGAACCGCAAACCCGATTGACACCCTTGATAATCAATTAATCATCAATCAATAAATACCTTAATACTAAAATAGACACCAAAAGTGACACGTGTCACATCTTGGTGCAGTTTTTTCCCTCCAAAACTCCCATTTCCTTTTGAACCTTTTTTTTTTGGTTAATATTTGTTTCTATAATATAATAATGTCATTCTAAATCTTTTATACTATTATTTTTATGACAAATATATATTCCTTTTATTTGGTGTTCATAATTATTCTATATAATTATTTCAATTCAACTCCTTTTTATATCTTTTAAATGAAGTACTGTTAGATTTTGCTACAAAAAGTTATAATAAATTCATATAATCCCTACCTTATAAAAAGTGGGAAGTTGTTCTTATGTATAGTGCACATACCTTTTTTCCCTTCAATATATAAATTTACCTTCTTACCCTTTTATAATCCCTACCTGTAGACACCCATTTGTGTCTCCCCAAAACCAAACCCGGTGATGAGTACCTTTCACGTCGAATCATATTCGAATGAAATGAAAGTGTGGAAAGTCTCGTGTTGCGGATAGTTTTAATTTCTTTTCTTTTCTCTCTGTTTTTGAAAACCTATTATAAGAAAACAGCCAATCCAGTTTGATTGGTTCATAGAAAGGGTCCAATAATGGTGTAGTTGGATGAGGCTTGAAAGAAGCTTTTCAACGGTATATTATAAGCCCAATTCCGATGAATAATGAGGAAGTTATGTCCAAATTACTAAACTGGGTCCGGTTTGAGCCTTATATGCGGCCCAATGATCTAGAGGAGGGCCTAATATGGATTTATCATTCCTAATGCAATTAGGAGTGGATTTAGTCTTCTAGATTCTTCTACAAGGTTCTTTTCATTTCTAATTCAATTAGCATTGATAAATTGACTTTTGTTGACTTTTTGGAGTTTTAATCAGAATAAAAGAGTGTTTTTGAGGAAAATACGATTTTATCCTCCTGTACGGTTAAATTTTATCTGAATTTAGAATACGCGTAAAAAGTTTGATTAGCGCCTAACGCCAGTCATTAGCGCCTGGCGCTAGCGTTAGCGCCTGACGCTAGCGTTAGCGCCTGACGCTAATGTCAGCGTTTGGCGCTAACTTCGTTTTTTCACGTCGAAACTCTGATTTGTTTTTATATCTTTTTGGCTGAGTTTCTCTACAAATAGCCTTCTAAAAACTCCGTTTTCAATCATCTACAATAATCTACAATCACCAATTCTCTAATTCTCTTCTCTCTCGAAGCTAAAACTTTCTTTCTCTCTCTTTTCTAAACCAACCTTTGTACAAAATTCCGCATTCACAAGATCAAGAAACATCTAGCATTGTTCGAAGTTTCCTTCGCCCTAGACGTGAAAGGTTTTAATTTCTGAGGGTTTGGTCCCAAATTTTTCTTTCAATTATTTAATTTAATTGTTTTGATTTATTATTTTCCTTGAAGTTACTAACGTGTGTATTTTGTTATTAGAAAGAGGTACGAGACATCCAAGTAAGTGCTTTAATGGTTTTTATTGATATTATGATGTCGATTTCATGCTTAGGTTGTTATTATGATCTTCTTAGTATCATGTTTAGGGTAACAACTAAAAAATGCTAAAATCAAGTATGATTAAAAATATGATGCCTTTTATATCCTTTCTAATATTTATTCATGTTAGTATCATGCTAGGGTTTGCTATTAATCTTGTTAGTATCATGCCTAGGATCTTGCTATTAATATTATGCTTTAACATGATTATTTTAATTATTATTTTATTATAATTGTAATTATTTTTTTTTATCATGTTGCTTGATTATATTTATTGTTATTGCTTGATCACGCCTTTCATGCACGTTTAAAGGGAATTGATACTTGTAATCACGTTTAATAAGATAATTAATAATCTTGTTTAGGGTTAATTTGATTATAGCTCA